TTTTTTTTTGTTGTTGTTGTCCGGACATTTTGCACCCCCTAAACACCGGGGCGGACTGTCCGGGTCTGGTGATGTTCGGGTGTGCGGTGATGTCCGGATCACCGGACAGTCCGGACTGGTCCAGACACTGGTCCGGAAGACAGTCCAGGAGCATCCGGTGTCCGGGTCCGCGGTTACCATGCTATTTGTTAAATTATTTATTTATTTACTCCACCTACCGTCGTCCCCCGAACATAACGGATACGCGTTGTATTCAAGTTTTCAAAAAACAATCGATGATTCGAACAGAATGCATGTATTTGAGTTTTTGAAAAAAAAAATCGATGATTCGAACAGAATGCATATGCATTGTATTCGAATATACCAGCCGTTCGAATAGAACGCACGTGTTGTATTCGAATATAAAGCAACCTACGCGTTGTATTCGTTTACAACACGTGTTATGTTCGGGGGGAAGACGGTAGCCAGTTCTACTGCAAACTGAGTGTTGGTGAGCACCTGAAGCACAAATCTGACAGTCGGATTTTTCTGCGAGGGGTAAAATATAAGACACAATTTATTACTTAAAAAAAAAAAATCAAATTGTTCTTTTTTCCCCCTAATTATTTTCTTTCGTTTTTTCCCCCTTACTCTTTTTTTTTTTTTTTTTTTTTTTTTAAAAATTTTATTTTATTTTTTTTTTTTTTTTTTTTTTTTTTTTTTTTTTTTTTTTCAACAAAATTGGGCACAAGTTTGTCCCATGATCCCATCACAAAAAAAATGATAATTTTAAAGTGCATTTTGCCATTTTCCTTTTTTTTTTTTTTTTCTGTCTTATCTCTTTCCTATTCTTTTCTGCGGACTGGGGGCAAGGCTCTGCAAGCTCGTCATCTCAGCCCTCCTTTTTTTTTTCTTTTTTTTTTTCTTACCTCTAAAAGGGATTTTTTTGTTTTGAAGCAAGTAAGAACCCTACAAGGCTGACATTGGGACTGCTGTCTTTTTTTTTCCCCATTGGGACTGTTGTCAATCATTCTCCATCCCCTTCTGTCCAAATTAGCTGCATACAGAAAAGCCCCAGAAAGCGAAGGACAAGGAGAACAAGGCAGTATCGGCGCGAGAGAAGGTTGTAGTTCCTTGCACTCCTTCCTTTCCTTAATTTTCTTTAACCCTTTTTCCCCTCGCTTAAGCCACCAGTACATCCAAAAAAGCAGATTGAGCCTCTCCTAAAAATAGGAGGCCAGCACCACTAGCACGGACGGGTGGTTAAAAAAAAAAAAAAAAAAAAAAAAAGGAGGCCATGCAATGACTATTCATTTTATCGACGGACCATCCATGGCTTCCGAATTTTTTGGGGAGCCTCAATCTGCTTTTCCGAATGTACTGGCGGCTTAATCTTCTATCCATCTCCTACTTCCCACTCCACGCCCTCCTCCCCCCTGCTCTCGCTATTGAAGTTTTCTCTTTTTCGAACTTTTTCCCGTCTTCCTCCCTTTCTTCCTCTTCCTCCTCCTCCATTTCTTTCCTCTCCTCCTCGCTCCTTTTTTCATTTCCTTCCTTGTGCGAGGCTCAAGGCCTCTGTAAGCCCTTTCTCGGGCCCCGTTTCAGCAAATACGGCCGCCCTAAGTGAAGGCGGGCCTGACAGGTGACGCGAAGCCTATTTTGTGTTTGACGCAACTGGGGGAAATGCAGGCAGTTACGCAGCGTCAGTTGGTTGAGCGAGCCCGTGCCCTGCCTACCAACATCTCAGGCCTCCAGGCCTTTTTCCGAATGACTCGGAGCAGGCCCTGGGGCAGACACGGGGCATGAACTGAACACAGGCAGCTGGGTAGTTGGACACGGGTAACCTCCCCAAGCCCTGTGGAAGATTCCCTGGGACAGGGGCTCAACCACTCGGGGCCTACCGGCAGCTTCCTGGGAGAGGCCCAGGCCAGCTAGGCAGCCCACGACAGGCAGCCACTTTCCATAAAGGAAAGGGCCTGGCTGCTGGCTGGACATTCGGGCACTTGCTGCTCCTGGCGTAAGCGCTGCTGTGCTAGCTGCGGATGCGACTGCCCACGTGCTCACGGGCCAGCAGGGTGGACGCAGGCAGCCATAGCCAGACTGGCCTGCGCATTGCTGGATGGGGCGTATGGTGGTCTTCGGGTGTATGTGGCATCTGTGTGGAGGATCGAGGTTGTGAGTGAGGCGAGGGACATATCTGGTGCTTGATGTGAACGGCATTGGCCGAGATCTGCTCGTACTTCGGAAAGCTGTTGACGTCACCGGTGGCATTGTTGATAGGCTAGATGGGATCTGCCATCTGTAGTCCGGGCCCCAAGCGTCTGATGGGGGAACGGCATTGGTTCATTGGTGATAATTACGAGACTATTCCAAAATTATCCTTTGTGAGCTCTGCTGTGCTCTTATTTGGTGTAATTTGATTTGCAATTCTGCTTTTGGTTCGAGGTCACGACTATCTGGTTTCATATGTATGATGCTGCTTGGTTTCTGGAGCTCGCTATCGCTCATCTTGCTTGCACTTGGCCATCATCTACCCATTGTGTTCCTCTTCTTCCTTCTCCCGTTTTCCTCCTCTCTCCTTGTTCCAATTCCTTCTCCTCCCGCCGTCTGCCTACTGTGTGTCCCTCTTCTTCCTTCTTTCTCCTCTCTCCATGTCTCATCAATTTGTTAATATACGACGTAAAAGCAGGATGGCTGGAAAAATACACACAATTCTTAAATCAGGATGGTTGGAAAAAACACGCCATTCTCTTGCCATTACCTACCTACTATGTCCTTCGTCTTCCTTCAGAAGTGACTTTTTTCTTCAAATTTTACATATTTTGCTCAAGCCACGAAAGCGAACTAGGATTTTTTTTTTTGCCTCTTTTTGTATGTTTTTAAAAACTTTTTTGAAGTTTTTTTTTTTTTTTTTCCAAATTTGGTGTCTATAGCTTCGTGTTAATGCATACCGACCGCCTTCAATCAAGGAACCCAAGCATCTGGAAGGGTCAAGAGTCAAGACTCAAAACTTCGAAAGTGACCACAACAAAAAGAAAAAACTTGTTCAATTTCATCACACGAGCAAAATATTTCAGATTTAACGTTTTATAAAGTCGGATCCGACTCTTCCTTCTTCCTCCTCTCTCCTTGTTTCATTTCCTTCTTCTGCCGTAATCTACCTATTGTGTCCCTCTTCTTTCTTCTTCCTCCTCTCTCCCTGTTTCATTTCCTTCCTTTGCCAATATCTACCTATTCTGTCCCTCTTCTTCCTTCTTCCTTCTTCCTCCTCTCTCCTCTCTCCTTGTTTCATTTCCTCGAATTCCTTCTTTACTGATGATTGTGCCCAAAACTGCCGCGGACGCCTAATTTTTCGTAAGGACTTATATCCCTCTCTCTCTCTCTCTCTCTCTCTCTCTCTCTCTCTCTCTCTCTCTCTCTCTCTCTCTC